TATATGCATATATATATATACATGTTGATACAAGCTCCCAGCGCTCGAAAAGAATATCTCCTAATAACTAGGGACGGGGATGCGAGTTTGTTTGCGGAGGGGGAGGGGAAGGTCGGTGGAGGGACATTTGTAGACCAATACCGCTCAGGTGATTAGAAACATAAAATAGCCGCTAGAAATGCCGCAATATCTTTCCAGAGCCTTTGAAAGGTTATCAATCGTTTAAGTGTCAAGCAGAATAGCCCTTGGTACATAAACAATTTTTATTGCCAGTATTCTATTGGTTTTGTATGGGTACTTCGTAGCGGGGGAGGGGGTGGAGGGGGATAAAAATTGGTCATAAGTGGGCTCCTGGTCGGTACCACTCCTAAGAAAACGATACTCTTTTCTCTCACACGTGACTGACATTACAAGTCAAACTACTTTGGTGCATGGAGCCGTTTTCAGCCACATTATGGACCTGTCTCGCTGATCTCTCTGTAGGCAGATAAAATGAAGGATGGAAACAGCGATAGAATAAGACTAAAGAGGCTATCCCGATTGCAAAAGTCGTCCATTCTGCAGTTAGCATTGTTATCCTAAATTTCAGGTTGTATCTGGCCACAAAGTTCCATAGTAGCACTATAGTACTGTTTTCGATTAAAGTCAAGATATAATAAGGATATCCCCATTTACGAGTGTTTTTGCCTTCCAGTGGAAAGAAGCAGAACATGTGGACATACGCAATAGCACATCTAAATAATTCCTGTTTAATCGGAGCGCCCTCGAAATATTCGCATTTCTGTCTCCATAGCAGAGCGTATGATAAAATTAAGCGAATTCCGGCAACCACAAACACGAAGCGAGTAAAATGAGAAGCAAATAGAGCGAGGGCTAAGATCCTGGATGTGAGCATAAACAGGCGCCACACGAAATACAAAAGTGAACCAAAGCTGCACCAGCTCATCTGTGGACTTTCCTCATCTCCGTCTTTGAGATATCGCGCATAGATCAAAAGATGTAGGGCGAAAAGAGCAAGCGATTTTGGTATGCTGAGAACAACAATCAGATCTTCAAACGACCCTAAGTCTACACCACCCCTTCGTAGTAAGATGTAGATTTGTAAGGCAACCTGTTAGAGAAAAAATAGGAACAAGTTAGAGACTGTTGGATAAGGATCTAGAAGTTAAAATATCATAATACATGTAGCATTTATCAACTTCATTCTTTTGTTATGTTTCTTCGATCAGTAAACGTGGAAAGGATTAGTCACGATCAACGCCTCTTTGAACTTCTCAAGGTGGGAAGGAGCGCGGGCTAATCTCCTGAACTGTGACCGGGTAATCCTATGCGAGTCTAAGGAAAAAGAGATGAGAAAACCCGATGCAAGCGCAAAAGGACAACCCGAAGGGTGTAGAGAAAAGAAGCTACCACTGTTTTTCAAGTCACAACCCAAGGTCTCTCAGAGTTGTAGGAATTTCAATAAGTTTTTGCCTCAAACTCGAAATAAAAAATGATGATACGCAAACTTATATCAAGGGGCGATTATTTCCAAGAAATCAAACCCTTCCACACAGGGATGATTACAAAATAATTTCTCCTTGTAGTGTCACCCACTTGAATCAAACAGGTAAGTAAATGATGAGAAAAATGAAGTTTCCCATTGTCAAACAAAATCTCCTTGTCAGTACCAGGGGAAACGTATGAGAACAGTATGGAGAATATGCATACTGATGTTAAGGGTGGAAAGGGTATGTATAGAGAACAGTATGGAGAATATGCATACTAATGTTAAGGGTGAAAAGGGTATGTATAGAGAACAGTATGGAGAATATGCATACTAATGTTAAGGGTGAAAAGGGTCACCGAAAAATAGGAATACTTGTTCAGTCACCTGAGGTGCTTCTTCCATAAACGCCTCTAAGACACCAAGAGTACTCACGTCTTGCAGCTGAGCGATGTACAAGCGATAACGTTCTTTATCGTCTTTATCGTCCGATGTTCGGTTTTTGATTTGTCGTATAAGACGCACGGTTTTAAATATCTGGCAGCTTCTACAAAGATAAAACAACTTTGTACCATTTATACTGTAAGAAGTCTGCAATCGAGGCAAGTGGCCGAATTAACCTGAGGGTTATCCCAGTTTCTGTACCATGAAGTGACAATCTACCCCAAGGCAGCCTCCCTCCCCTGCATTTCATCAGTTAACAGTTCACCGGTAGCTATTTCCTCTCCGAAGTTGTAGAGACATAAAAATAAATTAATTTAACATTCAATATTGTTCATGCGAGTCTAGCGCTCTGTTAGATATCAAAGTAGCCGCTAGCGCTGTCCAAAAACCCTCAGTCACGCAAGTCAGTATCAAAGACGATATGGAGAATGTTTATGTGTACGCGTGGGCATGAGAAAGCGTAAAGTTCGAGTTAGTGTGTGTTTCTTCCTTTACCCTACCGGTAAAAACTTTTTTGTTCAGGGTCAGGGTGTAAGATTTTCACATTATTCTCCGCTAAGAACCGGCAGGTCAAGCCAGGTTGAATGTCCCGACAAATCAAAATATCAAAATATGTACCTCATAACGACCTTGCAAAACCGGCTCGCGTCACATGACCTGAATCGACGGTGATGCGATTATTTCACAACGGCATGCAATATTACATCACTCTTGAAACTATAAACATATCCTAAGAAAAACTTATAGAATGTTACTTTTAAATTTGAGGTTTGTGCTAATTGCTGAGATAAACAGGTATCATTTACTCCTATTTAACTGGAACACTGCAGAGCAGTCTGAAAATATTATGAGTATAGGGTCGCCCTACCTTAAAAGACTTCCACAAAGGAAAACATGACACACTAAATAATGCCATTTTTTTATCTCAAGTCCATGTTTCTTGAGGATTTTCTTCTTATGACCCTTTTCATCTTCCAGATACCAGTTGACAGACACTATTTCAATGATGACAACCGAAATAATTACAAAGGAGAGCGTGAACGAAGCCCAGATGCTGTCACCACGGCGGTAATGGGATACCGCCACTCTTACATCCATTGCCGTGTCCACTAACGCCAGAAGCAACGTCAGAAACGGAAAGAGGAGGTTTAACCGCGAGCATTTCCCCCTTTCATACCATATCCTCGCTTCGGGATCTTTTGGGGCTATGTACGGTCGAGTGTCACTTATCCAGTTTAAAATCCGGCGACAAGTAGCAGGGAAATATCGACACATGCAATCGTGATCTTGCGATGAACAGTCTGTTTCAACCATTTGTGTCCTGCAGTGCAAGCTAAATATTAAAAGGAGAGTACGAAAATCATGTAACTGAAAAGCGAGCAGATGCAGAAAAGAAAATATTGCATGTTTTATTGATTAGAACTCACCGTAAGGTTACGTGCAACAAAAGAGAAGGAACAATCGCTTTAACGAGCGTTTATTACAGAAAAAGCGTGAACAAACTCATCTCCAAATACAATTAGTTATTGTTGACCCTAAACACCCTAATCCCATCAGTATGAATATTCTCCATATTTTTCTCTATACCTTTCCCAAGATGCTGTCAAGGAGAATTTGCTTATCAATCGAGAGTTTCTGTGGTTGTTGATCATTTCCTTTATTCTCCTGACTTTAATGTTTGTTTCAGCGGTGATATTGTAAGGAGAAATTAGATTGTAGTCACTCTTAGTGTTAATTCCGTGACCAGAGAAGATATTGGAAGAAGATGATGTTCAAGGTGACCAGACAGGTTTGTCATATTAGGCATTAAGCATAAAATCAAAACATTGTGATGCAACTGATATATTTTCGTTCCCTTTCTCATCGTAACATCATGTTTTGAATCCGGTGTTACATTACCGTGTTATTCTTTCATTGAAACACCTATGAAAATAGTTTTCATGCCCGGCTACTTTTGAAATTTTATCTTACGTTATCATGCTTAACATTTATGCCACAGATTTTTTCATTAAAAAGCAGTGGTACAGTTTTATAACGTAACACCGCTCAGTGCTCAGTCATAGTAACGAAAGTGTGACACAAAAGGAAGTGTACGCCCTGTTCACAAACAGTTCCTGTTTTTACCGGAAACCATCGGAGTCACACAAAACAGAGGTGACTCGCGAAACAATTCCGTCATACAAAGCATAAATTTCGCCCGCAGAACCATAACACACAGAGCAGGAACGTAAAAAAGGACTGAGAGACGCAAAGAAAGCAACGATGATGGAAAACAGTATCACAACGAGGGGAAGCTATTCTCGATCAGACGGTACGTATTGCTCTGTAATCGAAACAAATATTTCGTCATCATGCCGCTTTCGCGAAAGAGAGGAAACATTAGGTCCTTGGACATGCTGTTTTTTCTTGTACATTGCATATACGTCATGTTGTTTTCTTGTTTTATTTCAGAGTATTGTGTACAAAGCGAATTGATTTAATTGCGTTAATCAGCCGCAAATTATGCTAATGTTCAGTGGCATATTGGCGAACGATAGCAAGACATACTTTTCTGTCTCACTTTAAAAAATTTATTGCCCTATGCTACTCAAATTGAAATTGGTTGTCAGTTGGACTCTTTTTTTCAATGGAGCCACAACAACCACTGAGAGGTACGAAGAGCTGCTTAGAGCGATCAAATAAGCTCGATTTACATCGATTAGCGACGGTTAGTAAGTTTTTCGCGTTCTAATCACGTTTTACCTTAAAATAATGATCAGAACTGAAGCAATTTCATCAATTCAACGACTTCTTCAGTGTCTAAATTACATCCTATCTTCTTGAAACTTGTCGGTAACTAGTTAGTGCTCACAAAACTACTGTTTCGCTCTTAGCCTCTCTACCATATTGAATAATGCTTGGTAACCTGGCTGTTTACGACAGCGTGTAGCGATTTTTTCTGTTTTTCGTATGTGTGGACGATTCACTAACGTTTAGAGTAAGCATGATAAAACGAAAAGACTCGAAAGTACAGGTACATACCGCTGTCTCTGTGAGAAACTATAAATTACTAGTAGCAAAACCGATGTAGAAAGCGAAAGCAGAAAATGACGAGTGGTTAGTTCAAATACTGAAGTTTCTGGCAAAATGTTCTTTAATTTGGCAGCTTTCCATTTGGCGTTTTTTGAAATTTTTGCACTTAAGGCGTTTTTTGTATGTGTGTGGGACTTTTGGTCTTTTGCAAAACTGTCTCGATGTCTCAATTTCTCATGAAATCAAAGAGAGCCGTTCGATTGCTGCTCAGAGCGTCATGCCCGTGGAAGTTTCAAGAACCATTCAAACAAGGCACGTGCATGAACGCGAAAAACCGTAAATAAACAGCGGCAATATTTACGAGATTTCGTTGTTTTCGCTTAAAAAAAAAAAGCAACTTTTAGGTAATTTCACACCAAATTTAGTGTGGTAACACCGTTTCGTAAAATTTTGGGCATAGACCTTTTCGTCTTGCTTTCACTAATTACCATTGAAACTCGAGGAACGAACGGCGTCTGAATACATGAAGAGTGTCCGTAACTAAATCTGGCTGGAAACTGTAAACACTTTTATTTGATTAACAGGATTTTGCGAAAACGGCCGCTTTATACAAGATAAGCTGTTCGTTAACAAGGGTGTCTTGTATAAGATCTCTTACATTTTCTACCGATTTAAACTTACCTTTCCGTTGTCGCTTCGAGATCAAGTGGCCGCTTTAGTCGTGTGCTTATACAAGGGTCCGGCCAGCATTTGATGAGAGTCATGTTGCTGCCTGTGCCTGTAACAACACGATGACTGAAGACAAACTTTGACTCCAGGACGGAATTATTAACGGAGTCAAATTGAAAGTTCTCACGCACGAAAAGTTTCTCAAAAACAGAGGAGTAGCAAATCCTCATGAAAGAAGTCCTATTAAATCAAAGCAGGGTTTGTTTTGAACGTTTACAAGTGTATGTTGGCCACGTGACGAGTATTTTGATGGAGCACATGAGTAGAGTGTGACAGACCACATTAACCCTTCAGCTCCCATGAGTGACCAAGGTAGAATTTCTCTCTACAAAATCAAAACAATATCAAATAGACATGTGATGAGAACAAGGAGGAAAGAAAATCAGGGCAATATCAGTTGATTCAATACCAAATTCTCCTAACTAACATAATAAGAATTATATGGCAGACAGTAAGGAGAATTACTAATGATATCTTGGTAGTGAAAGCGGTCAACGAAGCTAGTCGCGTTATTAGGCTCCATCGAGAACAAATAAATAATCCCCCCTTGTCACCAAGACTACGAATAGTCCCTGCTTTTCATTAACGAAAAAAGGGTTGATTTTAGTGCGCCGCGCGGAACTCTGGCAATGTGAGGCACGAAAAGTAATCCAAGACTTCCACGCGGTGCGCTAACATCGACTTTTTTTTCAAAGGATTTTTTTTT